GGAAGGAAGGAAGGAAGGAAGGAAGGAAGGAAGGAAGGAAGGGGAGAAAAGAAAGAAAGAGAGAGAGAGACAGAGAGGGAGGGAGGGAGGGAGGGAGGGACAAAGGAGTGGAGGAAACAGTATCTTTGCTTTATCAGACATCTGAGCAATTCAGATATTCGGTTATTACATTAATAAAATAATGGATGCTATGACCTGATCATTAGAGCATTTCTAGATTACAAAACTACCAGTAATTAAATAGTGGTGATTTATAATCATTCTCTCCAAAATTTTGTTGTAGTAGTTTGTAGCAGTTTTTGTTTGTTAATTACTACTCATTTTTAGTTCTATAGGCCAGTATAATACACATCCGTCCATATTACATCTGCTGCTCTCTTTAACCCCTTCCCTGGAGCAGACCATCTAGTTTCCGTAGTAACTACTACAAAACTATTGCTCCTGGGGTAGAAGGAAGAAAGGAAATGCAGAAGATAATGAATAAGTTGGGTAGTTGGAGGATAAAATGTTACTTAAGCTACTAAGAACTTTGCTTCCTTACTTGCAAAGGTACTTAACTTTTCAGAGTAGCACTTCCAGCAGACTAATACCCTCTTCTTTGACCAATGTTAAGAAATCCCTCTTCTATCTTCCATGATCATGACTGTCCAAAGTGGAGCAAGACAGTGTACACATTCCCATTCTTTCCGTTCACCATTCATTCTTTCCGTTTGACAATTGTGCCTGACATGTGATTGCTTCAGTCTGAAACACAAAGCTTTGCGAGTCAGCATAAAATAAACACTTTGTGCACTAAATGATCCATTCAGTCCAGTTGATCTATAATTTGAGATTTTGTGTACATGTGTACCTTAAGTCATACCTCAGTAATAATGAGAACTTTTCCTCTTTGGATTGATTCTCATACCTAACTCCAGAGAATACTTATTTTTGTAACTGGGAAGAGCAGGTATCTCTTACTGGGAGTAAGAGAATTGTTTGGAGAATCCTAGATTGTTTACTACCAAGTTCACTTTCCGTATCGAAAATACCTATTTGGCTGTCTCTCCTATAGTTAAGGAGGATTTGGAAATCTGATCCAGTGCAGGGCGATGTCGGTCTGGGAAGGAAGACTGTGAGCCCTCTCTCCCTTTTTAATATGAGAATTCGAAAGCAGTGGGGAAGTGATGTTGGACCTATCACAGCATTGCTAACAGACAGCCTATTACAGTATTTAATAAAAACAGAAACAGCATGCCTATCATAGGCTAATAAATCCTATCTCCTGCATGCTTTAAAACAGTATGAAGCAGCTTTAACGGAGCTCCAGATAACTAATTTCAAGCATGGCTGTCTAGCGTGCCTGTCACTCCTATTGTCCTTCCAAACTCTTTCAGACATTTTGAGCAGGGAGAATTAAAGCTATGAGTTAGAAAGGGTTGTGACATTAATGGTCCACAAAGGCTTTAGGCACAAGAGGTAATGATGATTACCGGTGGCTATTTGGAGGACTGCACTGGATCGCTGTCATTAAAAATTAAGCGTGGCATTTGAGGAAGATGTGACAACTACCGGAGGTAGGATTTGCATGTAAAACAAAGGAATCTGTTGCTGTTTCATGCTTTTTTGTTTGCTCTGTGGCGTGCGGATCGTGAATTGCAGCCAGGTGCGGAGTGAGAAGCAGGAAGAGGAGGGAGAGGGGAGTGGGAGATGGTCTGCTTAGAGCAAAACACAGTGGCTAGTATTATGTTTTATGGCAGAAATGCCTCCAGGACAAAGTGGCACCAGGCTTATAGCCTGCTGAGTGTACATTCCACTCTGCTTTTCCTGTGGAGTAGAATGTTTAGAGGTCACGAAGGAAACACTTTGCCTCTTATCTGTGGTGCCAGCTGGGCTATTGGTAGGGCTGAGTGAAGACTTTGGTGGGTGGAAGGCATAAAGGTCCAAGAAAAATAAAGAGGAAGCGGTCCTTAAGATTTGAAACCTGTTAGATAAATGTTTTATTTCTACAGTCAATGTGTTTTGATGGTCAGAGTCTGATTTTTTCAAAGGGGAAATTGGAAGATTAGGACAAATTTCCCTGACAAAGAACTACTTCCTATGTAATCTATTATAAAAGAAAATTGGGTACCTTCGTCCGTTTTGCATATTGAAAGGCTGACCCACACTGTTTGGGTTCATGATTTTGCTAAGCAGAGCAAGAGTTTTCGACTAAAAGAAGGGGCTTTCTCTCGGTTCCTGCTCTTGCTTTTCAACAACTGCCGGGGCTGCAGATGGAAATGGTGATTTGTTAGAGGTTATGGACTTGACATTTTACCTATTTGTTTTGTTTTGTTTTTCAAATGAACAGCATAAAAACACAATTCTCCTTCAAAGATGAGAGGGGCAGTTGGGTTCCAAAGTCCAGTGGATAATGGGTAGATTTACAAAGGAACTTATTATACTGCTTTGTACTTTATATGGGATCGGTATAGCACAATCAGAAAAGGAAATGTCAGGAAATCACAAGCTGAGATTTCTAAGGCAAAAGTACAATGATCAGAAACCAGTGTTTTCTCAACTTGATCTATGGTGCAAATTTCAGTCTTTGTCATTGCATATGACCCTCAATGTGAAGTGGCAGGAACATAGTAAGTGAATTTCCCAGTGCCGTTGTGTTGTTTCCCCAGTGGACTTCACAAACTCTGAGCTGTAAAGATGTTGCTTTATATTCTGAAAAACTCTATATTCTGAGGCATAGATTGGTTATAACGAATGGCAGATACATGAAATAATTATAAATTTATAAAAGAATGCAATATTCTTCAAATGCATCTAAAACTTCCATACTAATGCAGAATTAACTAGAAATAAAAGTGTAAGACAATTAGAGTATGTTTGTTTTCAGCTAAATACTGCAATTAAGGATAAGTAGGGCTTTTGCTCTTCTCTGATGCAGTTGAGTTTGTGTATTTGTGAGCTTCTGTATATACACTGTAATCCACATACAAAGTTGAAATCATTGCCCCATAGTAGATGGCATCTATGTTAAAGTTTCCTGTTTGTTTTTCCTAACAGTGTGGTGGATTTTACTGAACCAGCCGAACACTCTTGGCTGGTCTTTACGTGACCAGACCACATGTCCATGAAATGACTGTATGGAATTCTTGGTGCATTTGATAGCTATGACATCGTTTTCTGCTTCTATGTGGCCAGTGGAATGTGTGCCCTTGACCTTGTAAAGTCCCTTCTCCAGCCAATTGACCTCACCAGTCAAGAATGCATGTATAGAAAGAGAGAGCTCAAAATACACAAACAAAAATACACACATACATTTTACTTACTGTTGTTAGAGGTTTAAAAATCGATATTATTCCTATTATTTTCATTAATTTCATTAAGGGTAAAAGGACTTTCACTGCCTCTAGTCTTACCAATATCTTCTGAATCTAATTGCATCAAGTATTTACTTTGGAGGCAATTCGTGCCATGAAAGTTGTCAACAGGAGAAATTATTTTGCTGTGGTTATGCTCACAACACTTTAGTGATAAACTAAAATGAATTTTTACAATTTTCACAGATTGATGAGGAAAAAGTTTCCGTATTAATTCTTGATGATATATGTGTCTGGACTGAACCCCCACAACATGAAAAATATAGAGGAGATATGGTGCTTGTTTTTCTTCTTTGTAAGCTGTGAGGAAAGCCAAACCAAGTAATTTAGTCAAAACAATCTACTTTGTATCACAAATTAATTTCATTGCCTGTTTACATTGGTAGATATCAGCCAAAACATTTTGAGATATCTTTTTCTTTCAGCTTCTGCTACATCTAGTAATAAAAAACAAACAATTCTCCAGCTATGCAAAAAGCAAGTCTGCAATCCCCCTTGATATAAAAAATAAGCACAGCTTTAGTCAGTCCTGTTTCCTCAGTCCCCATGGATAACACAGCCATCGTATCGTCACCAAGACACTTAGAATCCGAAGTTGTCCTTGTTCTCTGTCTCTCTCATATACACAGACAGTCATCATCCTGCTTTATTGGAAGATATTGGACCAGATATTTCTCAAACTAACACAATCTTCCCTTGGATCATCTCTCCTTTTCATCAAAATATAATTAAAAATAAATCTTCCAAAGATAAATTTCTGCTATTATATCAAATAAAAAAGCAGACTGCAAGAATGTATATATAATTTTGTTAATGCATATGTGTGTGTGAAAAAAACTAGAAAAAAATGCATCAAAATGTTAGCAGCAGTTATCTCAGTGAGGTGGAATTGGTGCATTTTATTCTCTTCATTCATTTGCACGGTTGCTATATTTTTTTCAAAGAGCATCTATTATATCAATAGCAAGAAGGCATGTCATAAAAGTTTATTTCTAGCTCCTGTTGCCATCTTTGCCCATGATCCTCCTGCATATCATGTACTATGTCTTCACCTCAAATTCCAAAGTCATTTGCTTGTCTAAGCACAACTGATTAAAGATGCCATTCCATTGTCAAATCCTCTTCATCCTTAGGTTTCTTGGTACTTCATGAAAAACAACATTGTCCTTTTTCAGGGACTGACTCCTACCTCTTAACTCAGGTTTCTGAAATAAAAGGAAAGCTAGAGAGAGTGTGTGTGTATGTGTTGAGTGTGTGTGTGTATCTGAGATTTCTCCCTATTTTGTAAATGGAGACTTTTTCAATCTCCTGCTGGTTCCTCATTATTTCCTAAATCTTTAAATGTTGGAGTGTTCCATGGATCAACTATAAATTTCTACTTTATCTATACTTAAGCTCTAAATGAGTTCAATCTAGTATCAAGCCCTCAGAAACTTCCCATATACAGAGAGCTCACAAATGCTAATCTCTAACCTTGACTTTTCCTCTAACTTCCATACTTACATATCCAACTACCTACATAACATTTCCACTTAAATGTCTTACAGGCATCTCACACAGGATATGCTCAAAATCAAATTTCTGAATTGCACAAAATGTCCTCCTTCTATATTTTTCTCCATCTGGGTAAATGGGAACTTCACCGTTGCACTTGCTCAGAAAAACCTTGGAGTCCTCGGTGATCCTCTCTTTCTTTTGCACATCACAGGAAATCCTAGTGCCTCTACCTTCAAACTATGCCTAGCTTTAATTGTTTCTTATCATTTCCACTGCTGCCACTCTGGGCAAGTCACTACCAACTCTCACATTATTACATATTTTTCACAGTTGGTCTCTTACTTCTGCCTCCCTTCTCCCACCCACATGTTCTATTCTCTACCCAACACCGGTGGTCATTTCAATATTGAAGTTAAGTCATACCTTCTGCTCAAAAGCCTCCAATGTCTTTCTGTATGACTGCAGATAGAAGCCAAGGTCTTACAGTGGCCCGTGTGCCCTGGAATAATCTGGTTCCTCCCAGTACCCTTCTGCTACCACTCTTTCCCATTCCACTGCCACCATGCTGGCCTCCTGGGCTGGGGCTCAAATCCACCAAGCACTCTCAAACCTCAGAGCCTTTGACTTGCTCTGCCTGCTGCCTAAAGAATTCTTCCCCTGCATAGTCACTTGACTCAGTTCTTTACTTTTTTTTCAGGTCTCTGCTGAATATCAGAAAACTTCCCTGAAAACACCTTTCAAATCACAACCCTTTGCATACTTCTTATTCCCAGACAATGCTTTCTTTTTCTCTGCAGCATACCATATTATCCCCAGGACATTACATGCTAAGATTTTATTGTCTATCTCCCTTCTCCTCAATTGTAAACTCTATGAAAGCAGAAATTTTTATTTGCCTTCTGAAGTATTCATAGCACTTAGAATAGGGCCTCTTATGCAGTAGGCACTTAATGAGCAACTGTCAAATGAATGAACAAGTTGTTCAATGTACGAATTAAATGTTTTCCTTCATCAAAATCCATTAGTAGCATTAGATTCCAAGTATAAGTTTTTCAACTTGAGAATCAGAGCTCTCAACTTGAGTGTCATAACATTCTGTTGCTTTTTCCAAAGAGAAAAATACTGAGCACCTTCAAGAAAGTTAAGGAAATTCATTAAGATGGTTTTCTTTCCCCTCCCTGCACAGGAGTGGGGAAAAATCACATCACTGATTCCAATCCATGTCAAAGCAAATGAAAATTCAATTTGTCTGAATTTGATCTTATCCAAAAGATGACTTCTATTTCAAAAAGGACATTTTCACAGATCTCCTATACAAATGACTGTAAATGTTGACATGTCCTATATTTTCTTTGCTCTTCCCTGGTGATAAGGAAAGGAATGGTAAAATCAAGTTGGAAGGGATGATTGGGGTCAGTATGGCTTCCTAAGGGTACAAGCCCCAGTAGCCTGTGCAGCAATAGGAATCAATTAATACTAATCAATAATCATACTGTTCATTTACACTTTCAAAATCAGCATTGTACAATCTCATGGTCTATTAAACAGTGACTTCTCTACCATTTATACATTTTTTTTCAATCAATTAAAATATAATACAATAATCTTATTGTACAAATTGGATGTAAATAATAATGTCCAATATTTCTAGAATGTTTTATAGTGTCAAGAGGTTGTGTGATGTGAAAAGGATGCAGCATCGGAGA